GTGTGTGTGTGTGTGTGTGTGTGTGTGTGTGTGTGTGTGTGTGTGTGTGTGTGTGTTCATGCAGATAAGTTTTTGAGCCAGTGACATGAATGAAGGTATGTGTGTTTGTGTCAGTCCAGAACCTGAGTGTTCATGTGTCTGACAGTTTGGGGGAAGAAACTGTTTCACAGTTTGGCATCGAGGGCCTGAATGCTCTGGTACCTTTTGCCAGAAGCCAGCAGGATGAAGAGTGTGTGTGAGGTTGTGTGCGGTCCTCCACAATGGTGGCTTTGTGGATGGAGCGGGTGTCAGTGATAGAGGGAAGAGAGGTGAGAAGGGGTTAATGGAAGATGGGCTTTTCTCAGCTTTTGCAGGAAGTAGAGGCGCTATTGGGCTTTCATAGCTATTGAGCTGGTTTTGGGGGACCAGGACAGGTTCTCTGCTTTGGTGTTCTGTGAACACCAAGGAATTTGGCGCTCTCAATGAGCTCCACAGAGGATCCAACGATGTTAAGTGGACAGTGATATCTCTGTGCTCTCCTGAAGTCAACAATCATCTCTTTTGTTCTGTCCACATTCAGAGACAGGTTGTTGACTCTACACCAGTCCATTAGCTGTTGCACCTCCTCTCTGTATGCTGACTCGTCTTTCTTGCTGATGAGACACAGCACAGTCATGTCATCAGCAGACTTGATGATGTGGTTCAAACTGTGCATTGCTGCACAGTCGTGAGTCAGCAGAGTGAACAGCAGTGGGCTGAGCACATAGCCCTGAAGGGCTCCAGTGCTCAGTGTTGTGGTGTTGGAGATGCTGTTACTGATCCAGACTGTCTGAGGTCTCTCCGTCAGAAAGTCCAGGATCCAGTTGCAGAGGGCGGCGTGCAGGACCAGCAGGCTCAGTTTTCCAATCAGGTGCTGAGAAATGATCGTGTTGAACGCTAAACTGAAATCTATGAACAGCATTTGTACATATGTGTCTTTATTGTCCAGGTGGGTGAGGCCAGATGTAGGTTGGTGGTAATGGCATCCTCTGTTGACCGGTTGGGGCGATAGTCAGTGGAGTGGCAGCAGGGTCTTAATGAGCCTCATGACGAGCCTCTCGAAGCACTTCATCATGATGGGTGTGAGTGCAACGGGACGGTAGTCACCAAGGCAGGACACAGAGGACTTCTTTGGCACAGGAGCAATGATGGTGGCCTTGAGGCAGATTGGGAAGACAGCAGTACTCAGGGAGTATAACACTGTCACTAGTTTATGAGTAGTAGAAATGCAAATAATCATGTCTTTTTCTGCAAAATAGAGTATATACAGAGTTACAGGACTCTCCCACAGACCACAGCAGGAGCTTCACACACTGGCTCATACTCATAATACAAGTCAGAGCTTTACATTAAAAATGTTAAGTGTGTTTTCAAAATTGGAGTTTATAGTTGGTTTGGTTGGCAGTTCATGTTTTGCCTTAGCTAAAAT